AATGTATATATGTATATATAATGTATATATATATAAATAAATTCTCTGTTTAAAACTGGAATGTGTTTCAAGCTTTAGGTTGGGAGCAAAATGTCTTCAACTAAAGAATAAAGGTCCATTTATTTATTTATTTATTTATTTATTTATTTATTTTTTGTGCTGAAATCCCAGTCTATTGATTTACATCTGAATGTCTAACCCCCCACCCCCAAATGTTTGGTAAAAAAAAAATTTGGTTAGAAAAGTCATTATATTTGCTCTAAACATGAAAAAATAAATTTAAAATAAGCCTAAATAAATGTAAATAAATTCACAAAAATCTAAACAAAATCAACCTAAATGTCAGAAAATGTATGTTTGTAAAGACGTCCACCACTGAACTGCTTCATGTCTGAATGTTTCTGATCAGAGGTTTCTCCTGCAGGGTACGCTCCCGTCACCGGAATGTGTCACCCGGTCCGCAGCTGCACCCTCAACCACGAAGACGGCTTCTCTTCTGCCTTTGTCGTGGCTCACGAGACCGGACATGTGTAGGACACACACTCACACACACACACACACACTGCTGACGTGCAGGGAGAGGGTTGTCTCAGCACTGAACCAGGAGATTTTCATGTTCTGGATCGTTTCTTATCCGTTTGTGGGGAGTGATGCTGTCGTCAACTATAGGAGGGATCTGTTAAAACATCCAGTCATGAGAGAACACATTCTGAACTGTTGATTCAAAACAGCCTCATTGTTCCAGACTTCAACAGATTTTGAGACGTGTTGCTCCACTTTAAGTTTGGACCGATATTCTGGCAGCAACAATAAACGTCCTGGTCAGAACAGTGGGCGTGAGTTTTCATCATCTGTGTTAGATGTTACTGTTTCCAGAGCACAAGTCTGGTACAGTCTGCTGTCCGGTCAGGATATTGACACATGGTCCAACCTGGGCAGATATTTGGAGACATCAGTTAATCTAACAAAGTTAAGTCAGGCCCTCTGGATAGATTCTTCTTTGTTGAAACGTTTCACCTTTCATCCAAAAGACTTCTTCAGTCTGAGGAGCTGCAACAAACTCAGTGTTATAAATAGCACCTTGTCATAGTGGGTCAACCAGTATATTTACCAGTTTATAAGACTGAGTTTGTTGTGGCTCCTCAGACTCTTGGATGAAAGACGAAACGTTTCAGCAGAAAGAATCCATCCAGAGGACCTGACTTCACTTTGTTGGATTTTTTAACCTGGATTATTGAGCATGGATCAGGACACATCAGTTAAAGTCTAATAAAACCACAGACTGTTCTCTGCTGTGATCAGCAGCTCTCTTAAAACTGTCTACTAGTTTTTCTGCGCTCTGATTCAGATGGAGTCCTGGGATGTACACTAAAATAACCTAAAATAACAGTTATTTGGGAGGCAAGTAGTGTGGTCTGAATGATGCAGTCAAAGCCAAGCAGAGCCCACCCCCCAGTCGACTTCCGTTGTTTTTCTGTGCTCCTGTCAAAAAGACACAACGTTAAAACCGTCCAGCTGATACTCTACATCTTCAGACAGCCAGGCCTGTAACACTAAAAGGACTGCTCTGTCTGGATCATGTTGGATGAAAGTAATCTTAGGTTTGACAGGCAGATTTGGGCCCGTTCGGATTTGGAGGCTTTCTGTGTGGAGTTTACACGTTTTTCTCATGTTAGTGTGGGTTTTCTAATGATACTCCGGTTTCCTCCCACAGTTCCATGTTCAGGCTGCCTTCAGGCTCAGGAAGACCTTGGAAATGAGATCTGTGATCTCAGTGGGATTTATGTGCCAGGTTAAATCTAAGATAAATATAAACGTATTAGAAGAAAACACAAATATGCATTGTGGTTTGACATGAGGGCAGCACGGTGGCGCAGTAGGTAGAGCTGCTGCCTCTCAGCGAGCAGGTCACCCCGGTTCAAATCCCGGCCGTGGACCTTTGTGGGTGGAGTTTGCATGTTCTCTCCGTGCTGCGTGGGCTTTTTCCAGGTACTCCGGTTTCCTCCCACGGATCAAAATCATGCATGTTAGACTGATTGATAACTCTAAATTGTCCCTAGGTGAGAGACAATGGATGAATGTTTGTCTCTATGTGTCCCTGTGATGGACTGGACCTGTCCAGAGTGTCCCCCGTCTCACACACAGTGATTGCTGGATATGGACACCATTGACCCCCGCAACCCTATAAGGAAGAAGCGGGGAAAGATGATGGATGGATGGATGGTATGACATGAGTCTCTCAGACCAAACCGCACACCCCAGGATTCTGGGAGCAGAAACTTGATAAAAGCTGTTGGTGTGAGGATGCCAGTGGTCCTTCAGATGTTCCTTCATGGTCAGTCTTTCTCACTTCCCTGAACTTCCAAACATAAAGACACTGACGGACACCCTGAACATTTACACATGAATTTTATTTAGACGTGCCGCAGTATTTCTGTAAACGTCTGTGCAACACCTTCCATGGCAGGGAGTACCTTCCACACTTGTCGACAGTTTGGTTTATTTATCATGTTGTACATTTATTATATATTTTAAGGTGTTGTAGGCTACAAACAGTATGGATGTTAGTGACATCCCCGCCTGGAGCTCAGATGTTTTCTTGCAGTCAGGTGAAAGGATGGTCACATGTTCACCGAAAAGCTCAGACCCGTGGGTGGTAAATTGCACACTCCAAGTCTTGAAAGCACATTTTGTCCATTGTGAGCGGGGTTAGATACATTCCCCTAGTTTTTGGTTCTTTGTGAGACTGATGTCGTCAGTGGCTCACTTCTCAGTGTTCCCATATTTAGGTTGAATTTACCTGTTCTAGAATGTCATGCATTTGTACATATCATTTAGTCTTCAGGCGTGTTTTGGTGAATCTGATGGGAACTGACTCTAATCATCTCCCCTTGTTTCTAAGTAACTCAACATCAAATGACATGCTTACTGCAGCAAACAGCTTCATGTGTCAATGGATTTATTCAACTGGCTTTGAAGTCCTGGGCAAATGTTTTCTTTCTAACAAAACTTGAATTAATTATCAGAAAAATGTTATGATTGAAGACGTCATTCAGTTCTGCAACAGTGAATCTTTTAGCAAAAGAGCAGCTGAGGCACGATGTGAGAATATCTCACCAGGTGGCAAGAAGGGGAACAGATGTTCAACTCCCTATGAACAGGAAGAAAACTCCAGCAAAACCAGAGCCAGGTTCAGAAAGGGCAGCCATCTGCCTCAAGTGGCTGGGGTTATAAAACACAGAATGGCCAGTCCAGATGTAGTTTCTCTGATCTAGATGTAGTTTCTCTTGTCTAGATGTAGATATGGTCCATGTGTAGTTTCTATATTCTATGTGTTGCTTCTAAGATTTGGTTTCTATGGTCCAGGTGTGGTTTATATGGGTAACAAGACAAATGGAAACATGGAGAGTAAAGGAAGTGAAGACAGCAGTATTGTAAGGAGAATTAATATTGGACAAATATGATCTCTCGTTCTAGCTTTTCCTCTAGGTGGTTGTTGGGGCTAGGCCCCACTAAGTTCTTTAGGTCTTGTTCATCTTATTGAGAGAGAGAGAGAGAGAGAGAGAGAGAGAGAGAGAGAGAGAGAGAG